GGCGCCGTGTAAATCCCAGCCCTCAGAAAGGCTGAAGCAGGAAGCTCTTGAACCTCCGGGAGGTCGGAGGTTGCATGATGAAGATCGCACCCACTGCACTCCAAGCCTGGGGCAGGGTGGACTCCGGTGTCTCCTCTCTCTCTCTCTCTCTCCCTCTCTCTATATATATATATACAGTATATGTGCTGTGGTGTGTGTGTGGTACTATGATATACGATATATGCATCTATATATACAAAACACAGTGGTTGGAGTCTAATTGGCTGTGCTTTTATGTTGTAAATTTCTTTATCCCAAAGGTCGTGGTAAGCCTTCCCATGTTAACCAATTTGCAACCTGAGGGAAGAACCTGAGGAAACACTTAATTAGACGAGTCTTATTTCGGGCCCAAGTGAAGACCGAGCTGCCTGGGACATCGCTGCCAACTGGCCCTGGGGAGGGTTCATTCACCGTTTACCCAAGCAGTTTTAAGCCAAGAAACGGCAACGCGTGGGCTCTCACAAATTCTCACGCGTTTCAGAAATACACGTTGTCTACCATGTCTAGCTCATAGCATGTGAGCTATAGCAGGGTCATGGTGCCCAGTGTGGAGCATTGTTAGGTTATGCAGTTTCTGGAGATAACTACATAGCTCAAGGGGGCAGTAGGACTTCGATTGCTGTTTCATTTTAATGCCTTTCCAGGCCTGATAAGTTTTAAGAAAGGGCTTACATTCCTCAGATAAGAAGAACCTGTATATGTATCTAACATTAAGGCATAATTTGTTTCTTTTTTGAGACAGTCTCGTGCAGTGGCACAATCTCTGCTCACTGTAACCTCTCCCTCTCCAGTTCAAGCGATTCTCCTGCCTTAGCCTCCTGAGTAGCTGGGACTACAGGCGCATGCCACCACGCCCGGCTAATTTTTGTGCGGTGTGTGGTCGGTGTGTATTTTCTTAGTAGAAACAGGGTTTCGCCATGTTAGCCAGGATGGTCTTCGATCGCCTGACCTCGTGATTCACCCGCCTCGGCCCTCCAAAGTGCTGGGCGAGAGCGAGCCCGGAGCACTGCACCCAGCCTATTAAGCATAATTTTCTAATGCATGTTTACTTCTGTAGGATGAATTCACTTTCAACACATCACAGTGAAATAAGGAAAGTGAAAGGGAAGGCACTGATGTTGTGAGATATATTGTGTAGGATGTATTGCAATAGAGCCATTGAGAACCTACATTAAGGGAGAATAAACAAATCTCTTATTTAAAGAGCCGAAGTCAGCTTGAACTGCTTGATTTCTTCTGTGGTTTTAACATTCCACGTTGAGAGATGGAATGGATTAAGAACCACCAGTGTACTTTGTTCTAGATTAGTGCTTTTCCAAGTGGTGGTGCACAGGACAGCAACATAGCATTACCTGAGAGCTTGTTAGAAATGGAAAATTCTCCTAACCCGGACCTGGCTTAGGTTAAATGAGAATGGTCTTTCTAATGTGGTGTGTGAGTAATGAGACCAGTCTTCCTAATATGGAGGTGGGAAATTGCCATGGATAATTATTAAACCTAATCACATAGGATGAGAAGAGGTGATCAGATTTTCTTCTTGGTAATATACTTGTTTCAACTAGCAGTAGCACTATTTATATGTCTATTAAAAGTGGATTTGACTATTAACCTGTAATGATTCCTTTTTATTATTAGCATTAATAGCATTAATGGACCACATAAATACTAGATAATGCATATAAGATAATATCTTCAGTGTATGCCCCTTTTCATTACAAGATAAATAATAACTATCTTCTTGGGTTTTTTAAGGTTAAAATGTGTCTGCAGGCACACAGACGTGCTCTCACCCCCATCTGACTATGCGGAAAGAGTTGACAAGTCCCATGGCATACTCTTCCAAGGCAAAGTGATGACAAGCGGTTTATCCAGAGTTCCTTAAAATACACGCCGTAAGTAGCGTCTCTCTTAGTTTGACAGACTGAGTGTAAAAATGAGTATTTGCACATAATTGGTTTTTGTCCTTTCTGCTTAAAAAAGTATCCAGCAGTGCACACAAAAGCTGGTCTGGATCTTTGTATTACAACAATCTTTGCTTGTTGGTAGAGAGGCTACGGCCACTTGGGAAGACCAGGATGAGGAGGGTGGGTTCCTTTCCCCTTCTAAGTTGAAAAGCTTCCTTTCCACTTGGCTTGTTTAATTGAAAGGCTGGGTTGGGTTCTTTCACTCTAGGAATGTGGTTCTGCTATTTCTGGTTTTGAAGTTTAGGTGAGGGTGAGAGGAAGTGACTAAGCAGAGGTCAGTGCTGTGCTCAGCCTCTCCTTTTGCCTGTAATTGTTGGATCTCATAAACAGAAGGAGGACACTGCATATTAATCAACCCTGTCCACATACATTTCTGTTAAACTGGAAGACTTCATTTGAATCCAGGAATTGTGGTATTTCATTTGCTGTGCTAGGTCCTCAGTATTGTTGGGAGATGTGAAACTTCAGTGAACGTCTGGCCTAGGGTAGGTGCCATATGATTATTGAAATGATATCTCTGTGGTGGAAACACTTACCCTAAAGCCCAATTCTAATTCCACCTAATGACTAGTGAGAGAAGAATATTGGAGGTAATTGGTATGGACGGGGATGTAATTTTTGTCTAAGGATGATAAAATCGGTATTTTTACATATATAGTCATGCATTGTTTAATGATGGGAATACAGAGAAGCGTGTCTTTAGGCAATTTCATCCTTGAGTGAACATCACAGTGTACTTAACACTGTGATGGATAGCTTAGATGGATAGCCTGCTTATGTGGTATAGCTTCTTGCTCCTACGCTACAAATGCAGACAGCATGTTAATATACCAAATACTCTAGGCAGAGGTAATACAGTGGTATTTGTATATCTAAACACAAAAAAGTTACAGTAAATATAAAAGATAAAAAATGGTACATCTTGGCTGGGTGCGGTGGCTCACGTCTATAATCCCAGCACTTTGGGAAGCCGAGACAGGCGGATCACCTGAGGTCAGGAGTTCAAGACCAGCCTGACCAACATGGAGAAACCCCATCTCTACTAAAAATACAAAATTAGCTGGGCATGGTGGCGTATGCCTGTAATCCCAGCTACTCAGGAAGGCTGCAGCAGGAGAATCACTTGAACCTGGGAGGCGGAGGTTGCAGTGAGCGGAGGTCGTGCCATTGCACTCCAGCCTGGGCAACAAGAGCGAAGCTCCACCTTAAATAAATAAATAAATAAATAAATAAATGGTACATCTTTGTAAGGAACTTACCATGAATGGAGCTTGCAGGACTAGAAGTTGCTCGGGGTGAGTCAGGGAGTGAGTGGTGAGTGAATGTGAAGGGCTAGGACATTACTGTACACTTTATAACACTATACTTAGGCTATGCTAACTTTACTAAACATTTTTCTTTCTTCTATAATAAATCTTAGCTTTCTGTAACTTTACTTTTTTTGACTCTTTTGTAATAGCACTTAAAACACAATCACATGGCTGGGTGCACTGGCTCACGCCCATAGTCCCCACACTTTGGGAGGCCAGTGTGGACGCATCACCCGAGGTCAGGAGTTCGAGACTAGTCTGGTCAAAATGGTGAAACCCCGTCTACTAAAAATACAAAAATTAGCCAGGCATGGTAGTGCGTACCTGTAATCCCAGCTACTCAGGAGGCTGAGGCAGGAGAATTGCTTGAACCTGGGAGGTGGAGGTTGCAGTGAGCTGAGATTGCACCAGTGCACTCCAGCCTGGGTGACAGAGTGAAACTCTGTTTTAAAAAAATTCAGAAAAAGAACAACAACGAAAAACACAATCACAAAGCCTGGCACAGTGGTGCACACCAGCAGTCCCAGCTAATTGGGAGGCTGAGGTGGGAGGGATCACACTTGAGCCCAGGAGCTCAAATCCAGCCTGGGTAATATAGTGAGACAGGAGAAAAAAAAAAAAAAGAAAAGCCAAAAAACCCGTACTTACATTGTATAGATATAGAGGAATAATTGCCTTACTCTATAAGATTTGTTGTTGTTTTTGGTTTTGTTTTTTTGTTTTGTTTTGTTTTGTTTTTTTGGTAGAGACATGGTCTCGATCTGTCACCCAGGCTGGGGTGCAGTGCTGTGATCACAGCTCACCGTAGCCTTGACCTCCCAGGCTCAAGCGATCCTCCCACTTTAGTCACCTCAGTAGCTGGGACTACACATGTGCTCCACCATGCCCAGCTAATTTTTTTTCTATTTTTTTGTAGAGACAGGGTCTCGCTATGTTGCCCAGGCTGGTCTTGAACTCCTGGGCTCAAGCGATCTGCCTGCCTCGGCTTCCCAAAGTGCTGGGATTACAGCCATGAGCCACCATGCCTTGCCACCAGGCTGTTCTTAGACTCTCTAGAAAAGACCTCAAGTGATCCTCCCACTTTGGCCTCCCAAAGTGCTGTTTTCTATTTTTACCATGTAAATTTTATTTTAGTTTCTACGCTTTTTTGTTAAAAACTAAGATACAGACTGGGTGCAGTGGCTCATGCCTGTAATCCCACCACTTTGGAAGGCTGCAGTGAGCTGTGATTGCACCACTGCCCTCCAGCCTGGGCAACAGAGACCCTATCTCAAAACAAACAAACAACAAACAAAAACACACACACACACACACACACAAACCCAAAGCTAAGATTCAAATATACACATTTGCCTAGGCCTACATTAATATCACTGTCTTCCATTTCCACGTCTCGTTGCACTGGAAGGTTATCAGGGCCAATAACATACCCAGAGCTGTCATCTAAAGTGGTAACAGTGTCTTCTTCTAGAATACTTCCTGAAGCACCTGTCTGAACCTCTTTTAACTTTTTTTTCTCTTTCAACTCTTTTTTTTTAATAAGTTGAAGGAATCTAATAATAAAAAATATAGTGTAAATACATAAACCGGTAGCATAGTCGTTTATTGTCAAGTATTATATACTGTATGTAATTGCATTTGCCGTGAACTTTTATTAGTCCATCATTGACTAAAATGCCCTTATGACTTTGTGACTGTAATTCTAGAACTCCAGGTTCCTTTGGAGGCTGAAAAAGCCCAAAAAACTTCCTTTCAGCTAGTTGGAATGTCTATGTTAAAAGTGTATCTACTGGAAATAACTTTTTTGTTATGTCGAAGTTTTTTGTTTTTGTTTTTTTGTTTTTTTGAGACTGAGTCTCACTCTGTTGCCCGGGCTGGAGTACGGTGGTTCGATCTTGGTTCACTGCAACCTCCGCCTCCTGGGTTCAAATGATTATCCTGCCTCAGCCTCCTCCTAGTAGCCACCATGCCTGGCTAATTTTTGTATTTTTAGTAGAGCCGGGGTTTCACCATGTTGGCCAGGTTGGTCTCGAACTCCTGACTTCAGGTGATCTACCGGTCTTGGCCTCCCAACGCATAATGTACATTCCATAAAAAGAGCACTAATCTTGAGTATACAACTTGATGAGTTTTCCCATATATGAACTTAACTCCCACCACCAAGATACATTTTGAGCCCCACATAAGGTCCTCATATGCCCTTTCTCCATCAATACCCACCCACACCCATGCCAAGGTAACCGCTATTTTGATGTCTGTCACCATCTGTTAGTGAACTTATATAAAATGGAATCATGCAATTTACTCTCATATCTGGTTCCTTTTGCTTATAATGTCCTATACCTTAGAATTTTAAGGCAGTTGGCTATGAGAATTAATCCTGCATCAGGGCACACCAGAATTTAGCTGAAGATGGTTGCCTCTCCAAACTTACTAAACGAACTTGGGAGAGCCCTATTAGGTACACTGTCTATTATCCTGTCCACACCCAGGTTGAATTAGCCTTCATAAATCAAGGAAGTTGAATGTTGCTGCAATGCAAAACTTTCAAAGACTGACTCCTTGCATTGTCAAATGAGACTATTGTTTGGTAGCAATAGGCTGGTAGGATGATGTTAGGACTTTTATGCAAGTTAGAGGAATTACAGAAGCCCAGTTTAAACTAGTTTAAGACAGGGCATGGTGGTTCAGGCTGATAATCCCAGCACTTTGGGAGGCCAATGAGGTGGGAAGATTGCTTGAGGCCAGGATTTCGAGACCAGCCTGGGCAACGTAGGGAGACCCTGTCTCAATTTTTTAAAAAATCATGAAGAAAAAAATAGCTTAAGCAAAAGGAGGAATTATCTGAGTCACATGAGGTCCAAGGATGTCTCTAGCTTCAGTCATGGCATAATCGAGGGATTCAGAAGATAGCAGGGCTCTTATGTGCTTTCATCTGTCGGTATGTTGGGTTTATTCTCAGTTCAGCTTCTGTTGTGACAGGATAGCCATCTACATTTATTTATTTGTTTATTTTTACTTTTCAGAGATAGAGTCTCACTGTTTCACACAGGCTGGAGTCCAGTGGTGTGATCATAGCTCACTGAATCCTCAAATTACTGCACTCCAGTGATCCTTCTGCCTCAGCCTCCTGAGTAGCTAATACTACATGTGCATGCAGCCACGCCTGGGTTTTTGTTGTTGGTGGTTTTTTTGAAATGGAGTCTTGCTCTGTCACCCAGGCTGGAGGCTTGGCACAATCTTGGCTCATTGCAACCTCCGCCTCCCAGGTTCAAGTGATCCTCCCACCTCAACCTCCCGAGTAGCTGGGATCAGAGGCGTGCACCACCATGCCCGGCTAATTTTTGTATTTTTAGTAGAGACGAGGGTTTCACCATGTTAGCCAGACTGGTCTCAAACTCCTGACCTCAAGTGATCCCCCTGCCGAGGCCTCCCAAAGTGCTGGATTACAGGTGTGAGCTACCACACCTGGCCGGCTTGTTTTTATTCTTCAGTCATGTGTTTCATTCTCACACACACTCCTTCATGCTGCCTTTATTGCTCCTACCTTGCCCTGATCTCAGTGGAGTTGTGCACTTTCCTCCACCCCTGTTTTGCAGCCTCCGTGAGAACATGGACCTGGTCTTCCCAGGGTCACCTGGCTCAGTACTCTATGCATGTCAGGTGTTAAGGACAATTACTGAATTGAAAACACATGTATAAGAATCCTTTTCCGATTACACACAGAATCAGTGACAGCAGAGAAACAACCTATGATCAACAATGACATGACTATTAGAATGAAGTTTGTTATACACTCTGTATTTTAGAGCTGCCACCATTATTGGGAGGCATATCTAAGTCTTACTAATCAGAGAACATTCTCCTGGCTTCAAGGATGACAGTGACCTGAAAAGGGCCAATCAGAACCTTTTTGCTATGTAAGCTTTGGGAAAGGAAACTTCATGCTGGGCTGAAAAGATCAGTGCAGCTCGGGAAATGTGGAGGGCCCAGCCCGGGCAACAGTGAGACCCTGTCTCTACAAAAAAAATTAAAAATTAGCCCAGTGTGGTGTTGCTCACACCTGTAGTCAATACTTTTCTTGTGAAACATTTTGCTTTTAGCTTTCATGCTAGATCAAGTATGTTAATATTTTAAAGGGGTGTAGGAGGAGGGGAGGAAAACTTCGAAGGTAAAGATATATCAATAATATAAAAATTCTGGCAGGAGGCCTACTTCAATGTTTTACTTTTTATGTTTTTTTGTAATTTCTTTTGCCCTTTAGTTTCCTCCCTGTTTGGCCTTACCCCTGAAATAAATCCACTGCGTTCTAAAGGTTTTGTTTTGCTACCTCAAAGAAGAAGCATAGTACCTGGCAGTTTTGGCAGAGTGCCTAGGAACTTGTTAATCATTGACTCATGGAGAAAGTCACATTTTCCCTCCATTAGAAGTAACATTAGCATAGCACACAAAGCCATATTACCTGAATACATTTTTTTTTTTTGAGACAGAATCTCATTCTTTTACCCAGGGTGGAGTGCAGTGGTGCGATCTCAGCTCACTGCACTCTCTGCCTCCTGGGTTCAAGCAATTCTTCTGCCTCAGCCTCCCGAGTAGCTGGGATTACAGATGCCAACCACAATGCATGGCTAATTTTTGTATTTTTTGTAGAGATGGGGTTTTACCATATTGGCCAGGCTGATCTTGAACTCCTGGCCTCAAGGGATTTGCCCACCTTGGCCTCCCAAAGTGCTGGGATTGCAGGTGTGAGCCACCGCCCTCGGCCATAAATCTTGAAAGAAGAAATAAATACCACCCCCACCTGCATCCACACACACATACCCCAAAGTTTAGAGTCTGCAAGAAATTGTATGCTTACAAATCTAAGACTCTGACAACAGTTAGAGCAAAGCACATGTGGATCACCTAGAAAAGGGACTAAACCTGGAAGATAAAGCTTAGTATGATAGTTTATGTAAATTGGCAGCAAAAAGAAACACTTCAGACTTTTTAAATAGTTGATTGGAATGGCAAGGCTGATGCTTGGAAAGTCTTAGGCCCATTCTTTGTATTTATGATGTGTAGCCTTCCTATGCCCAAGTATTCTGAGGACTAAGACACACATCAGAAACATTTGCAATGTGAATGGTAATGAAAACATTGCTTCTCAGAGAGTGAGAAGCATTTCTGTTCTTGCCCTTTTCTACAAGAAAATGAAACTTCGTATTTCTTTTACTCAGAAGTAGTTCCCACTTTCAACTTTGGTATTTTATTCCTCAGTTAGGGTTATTTTCATGTTTATGTCTGAAACACTATAAATGTGCAATTGTGATGTAACTTTAATTGTATTAGAAAAAATAATAAGTGTGTAATGGTAACTTTTCTATTCATTCTATATGACTTCAGGATTAACAGCAATTTTAAAAAGAATCCTAAAGGAACTCTTTAATTTATTGTAATGTAAAGCTTTTTAATTTTTTAGTTTAGATATTTAGCTTATTTTGCAAGATTTTATCCTAATATGATAATTGATATATGGTAGTATAAGATTAATATTACAAAGAGCATATGTGCATTCTTCCCCACGCAGTATTCCAGGGAACCAGAAGAGCCTGTAGAAAAGAATGATCATTATTTTCCTGACAGCATTTGTAGAGTAAGTCCCTGACACAGGTCAAGTAAACACCTCTTATAGATCAGCCTGAACTTTTTAAAATGAAATCTGAGATCCATTGTACTTAGAAGGTATAAAAATGGCTACTCCCCTTTAAATTGGAACCTACTACTTGTGTGTATTAGAGGACTCTGAACTGCTGTCAAATTGCATGCAGAAAACGAGGCATCTGCTCAGTGCTAGTGTTGAGGCAGGTGGATTACTTGAACTGAAGTTCAAGCAATTCAAGACTTCAATTGTCTGAAGTCCTTGCTTGAGTGCACCTGTGTGCAGATGTCTCCTGGTGTTTATTATGGCTGCACTCTGTGATTACAGTGTACTGGCAAAGGGCTGTAGTGTACTGAACAATGATGCCTGTTTTTATTAGGGTTCCTGAAGTGGTTCAGGAGCTTCCAGTGACTTCGCCTGTGGATGACTTCAGGCAGCCTCGTTACAGCAGCAGTGGTAACTTTGAGACACCTTCAAAAAGGACTTCTGCAAAGGGAAGAGCAGGAAAGTCAAAGAGAACAGAGCAAGATCACTATGAAACAGACTACACGACTGGCGGCGAGTCCTGTGATGAGCTGGAGGAGGACTGGATCAGGTACCGACTCAGCTCTCCTTTTCCTGGGCCACGTGCACCTTCTGATGATTAAAGGAGACCAACCAGGTGTCGGAGTTGTTGCCTCCCAAATTGAGGTCACTGGTGTAATTTCATTCTTTGCCAGCCAGGACTGGAGACAGTTTTTTGTGTGGTGTTGGTTGGTTTTTTCCTTAGCACCCTTTTGTGATAAAGATTGAAGTGGAGAGAATGTTTGGCAGTAACCATGTCTTTGAACTTTGGCAGTAACCACTTTGAACTTTCCATAGCGTGGCTGGTGAACTTCACCAGTGCTCTTACTTATACCAATAGTCACGCAAGAAAGGTCTCCCAGCACTTTGAGAGGCAAAGGCTAAGAGTTCAAGACCAGCCAGGTATAGTGGTGTGGGCCTGTAGTTCCAGCTACTCAGGAGGCTGAGGCTGAGGCTGAGGCAGGAGGATTGCTTAAGCCCAGGAGTTCAAGGCTGCAGTGAGCTTTAATTGAACCATTGCACCCCAGGCTGGGCGATAGAGCTAGACCCTATCTCAAAAAACAACCAAAGAAAGGCCTTTCAAATAAATAAAATCCAGGTATAGAGGAACTTTGTTTTACTGATCATAAAATTCCCAGACCAGTGCTATGGTTTTCCTTTGGCATTACTTTTTTTTTTTTTTTTTTACTTGCGAGGCTGAGCAGGAATCGCTCTGAACCCCGGAAGGCCAGAGGTTGCAGCGAGCCGAGATCGTGCATCTGCACTCTAGCCTGGGTGACAGAGCAAGACTCCGTCTCAAA